TAGAGAACGAGAAGTTGCTGCAAGAACTGGGCCTGAGGAAAGAGTATGCTCCTTTGAATATGGTGAAAGAAAGCATCAAGCTGCTGCGAAGCACAGGTGACCATGGTAGAACCAATTCCTAAGCCCCTGGGGAAGATTATGCTCTCCCAAAGACTTATGGTGTGCTGGATGGATGGGCGTGGCATACCAATGCTGTGGTAGATCTTGGTACAGTTTCAGAATTGTTTGCATTTAATGTGGGGGAACATCAACAGAGGGAATGCTAAACCAATACAGCAGCAGCCACAATGCCTTTGACACCTTGCAGACAAGGCTTTAAATAGGATGCTGTGTGCAAGCATCTTAGAGCCATCAGAGAGCACCTGGGTGTCACCAGTAGTGAGTGGCTCTTCTGGATAGATTATAAGAGTCTCTTTGAGGTCACAAAGAAAATACTCATGTGACTGGATCCTCCTGGTTTTCCATTTTAGACTTGAGAAGGAGGTATAGGCAGGTCCTGCTGTTCCCTGAAACTAGACCCAAGACAGAGTTCTGCACAGGTAGGGGGCTATGGCATTTTAGGCCTTTGCTACCATACTTAGTAATGCGCCAGCGACATGCTGCTGGAGGGTGTTCTGCAACAGTAGTGTCTAGTCTTCTTGGATGGCATACATGTGCATGGAAACTCATTCGACTCTACTGTGACAGCTTTGCGCAAAGTACCAGAGAGAATTAGGGAAGAAGGGCTGAAATTAAACCTTGGGAAGTGCAAATTCCTGAGCAAAGATCTGACATTTCTTGGATGCCGCATAGGCAAAAAAGGTACTGGTGTTAGAGAGATCTAGGTGCATGTCATACGTGAGTGACCCACTCCCACTGAGCAGAAAAACTGAACAGCTTTTTAGAGTTGGCCTCTTATTACAGAAAATTTGTGCAGGGGTTTTCCTGCATTGCTGCCCCTTGTACAGGCTGCTTCACACACGGACAAGACAAGACAAGAATTCAACCAGTCAGAGGACTGTCAGTCAGCTTTTGAGGCCCTAAAGCAAGCCCTAATGATCCCTGCCCCTATGACCACATCCTATGTGTTCCAGATGAATGCAGCTCTAGTCAAAAAGAACAGCACAGACAGTGAACAAACAGCAGCTGTGGTGAGGTTCTGTCAAATATCCATCTCAGACTTCTGGCACATTTCCATTAACATTGAAGGAGTTCCATGCACTACTCTCGTGGACAAGGTATCGACAGTCACAGTGGCCCAGCCATAATTGGTGCCTGCAGGAATTCAACTGTTCGGAGGACTGTCAGTCAGCTTTTGAGGCCCTAAAGCAAGCCCTAATGAGTGCACCTACCTTGGCAGACACCCCAACTTATCCTTTGTTCTGGATACGGATGCCAGTAAAAACTATGAGTAAAGCTGAACAGAGATATTATGTCACCCGGTGGGAGCTGTTGGCTGCTGTCTCAGCTAACAGACACTTTAAGTACTGCCTTTGTGGCTGGGCCTTTACTCTATGCTCCAATTATGCCTCGCTGCAGTGGCTGATGACCTTCAGAGAGCCAGATCGGCAGGTGACTTGTTGGCTGGAGGAGCAGTAGACCTATGAGTTCACCAAAACTCATCATGCAGGTAAGCAGCACGGTAATGCTGGTGCACTGTCCTGGTGCATGCAAGTACTGCAAGCACCAAGAGGTGGACAGTGATAAGTGGGCTGAACAGCAGATGCAGGATCCTGACCTACAGCTAGTGATGTGGTGGGTTAGGGTGCAAGAGTGGCCCCACTGGGAAGAGGTGGCAGCTCTGTCCCCATTTACGAAAGGACCGTGGGCCAACGTTGACATTCTGAGGTTAGTGGATGGTGTCCTACAGCAGGCCTGGGTGAAGCCAGTAACAAGACAAAGGAGATGACATCAGAGAGCACCTGGGTGTCACCAGTAGTGAGTGGCTCTTCTGGATAGATTATAAGAGTCTCTTTGAGGTCACAAAGGGAGGTGGTCATTCCCAGGGGTGTGCAGGAGGCAGTTTAAAGGCCATGCATTGATATACAGGGTCTTTTCAGGGTCACCAACTCTGACAGAGATTCTACTGGGAACCGCTGAGGCAGGATGTAGAGGACTTCTGCAGGAAGTATGACCGGTACACGGCATGCAAAGGACCTCCAGGGCAGTCCCGTATAGGACTCAACATAGTGGGGCTATTGGAAACCGTTTGTGTTGAGTGCCAAGGACTACTTTACAAAATTGCCAGAGGCCTACTCATCGCCAGAGCAGGAGGTGGAGGCCATTGTTGATGCCTTTGTTGAGGGGATTTTCAGTAAGTTTGGGAAACCTCTGTCCATTCATGGTGACCAAGGTGAATCCAAAATGTCAGATACTAAAATGCACACTTGATGCATTATTCCTGCATCATTTTCTATTTGAGATATAACTGCTTGTATCTTTTGCATGCTATTTTCAATAAGGTGCATCTCATTTACAGATCTATGCAGACACATCAACATTGCAATAATTGATAAGAGTAATCAAAGGTGAACTGAGTACACATAATTAAGCATGAAACACCTAAGAATAATTGTTAGATGGCTGACTACAGCCATATTAGGCTGTTTATTAACCCCTTACAAGTTTATTATACAATTCTATAACCTAAGACTAGCTCAACTAGTTTTCACTGAAGTCCCTGTAATTACTGAAAAATAAGTCTTACTTTATAATAAGCTGGGAATTTTAGGAGGTTAATAATGAAAGTAGGGCCGAGGCACTTTTACTGATGATAGAAGTATCATGACTGATGCTCAAGCAGTCAGAACGTTCCGGGTGCATACCACCGTACCCCTTCACTAAGTCACTCGATTTCTCATCAGGATGGTGGTGTACAGTATACAGTATGCAAAGAGCATGGTAGAAATTGAGTCTTTCTTTGGCAACAGGGTAATTTCAAAGGGGTATTGGCCACCACGATTGCTGGATCTGAAAACCACCAGACTTCTTCCTTTGGGGTATGCTTGAAGGAAAAGTCTATCGGAACAAGCCTTGCACTGTGGAAGATTTGAAGGAAAACATCCAATGTGAAATTGCTGCTATTCCCCCCGATATGCTTGCAGATATGCTCAGGAACATGGAGCGCTGTGTCGAAATGTGTCTGGCAGAAAACGGAGATCACTTCCAGCATCACATGTAATGCAATCGATTACACATACGTCAAGGTATGTAGCATATTTTTGCAAGTTGTTTCATTCAGATTGCTTCATTCTAATGGCAGTTACAACAGAATATTCAGGGCCTCTTTCGAGTGAATCTCCCTGTATAATGCACAGATTAACAGTAACACTTTATATTAGATTATTTTCACATCACATTTCATAACACGTGTAACCATTAAATAACATATTTAGAAAGAAACATTAGAGTGTTCATGAACAACGTATACCACCATTCTCAAGATGCTGTAACATTTTATGAAGTAAATGAAATTGTATTGACATAAGGGCCCTTATACTAAAGTGACAGACATTTTTTCACATTTATAACACTGTTATAAAGCATTATTCCTAAGTAATTGAACTTATAAGACCAAGGCCAGGAAGGCCATGTGTCAGTTCCATGAAAGACACCCTCAAACTAAAGTGACCATTTTTATTTATTTGTTTTCCTGTATCACTTCAGTTTGAAGATATATTTCAAAGAACTGCTATGAGTTGTTCTTGAGAATGATACTTCATAGCAGTGTTAGGAATGGAAACAATGGCTATCAATCGCTGTTGGTCATAAATGGCTGTTATGTCAGTGCAATATCGTTTACTTCATAAAACCTCTTATGGCATCTTATGAATACTGACATAAGATATTACTAAGCACTCAAATATTTCTTTCTAAAGATTCTGTATAGTACTTATGCTATATATATACACTATGCTATACACTATGTGTTATCCCTAGTAGTTATGTAGGTAGCTTTCAAATAAAGTGTTACAGAATGATCCAAATGCAACATTGGTGGATAAATTTGAAATCAGATCACAGTTGCGATTTTTGGTCAGAGCATTATGAGTTCATACAGATTCTTGAGTTATAGCCCTGCTTATCTAGGCTTTGCCTAATTGAGAGTGCAGAAGTATGGCTGTAGTATCTTCTGAGCTAGGAAATATGAGGCCCCACACATTTTCAATGATTTTACTAGCAGATAGGAATTTCACAGAGAGAAACACGTTGATGTCTACACATATATTAAGGAATATGCGCAGCTGATAAAACTCAAATCATCCAGCTGGTTTATGCTGGTCTGGTGCTCACTGTCCAAAGAAACTGAGTATTTGTATTTGTCCATTCATTATTAAATTTTCACACAATATCAAGGGCAGGTGCTGGATTCAAATGATGTAGAAAAATAAAATCAACAATAATGGACATGAATGTTTTTCTTTGGGCAGCGACAATATGGTGTTTTTTTCTGGTGATCAGCATGTTGTGGCTTTGCTATTCAAAATGCCATTGAAAGAGGCTTACTGGACATGCACACTGTCACTGATGGTTTAGCATAACTGTGTTTAGCTATTGCAGGGATGGGGGAGTAGCTAAGTGCGAGAAAAGAAACTACTTTTCTCGTATCTCAGTCAGGAAACTTTTCCGCAAAAGGCTCTCTCAGCGTTCGACTTTTTATGAGGCTGAAGTCAGCTTCTCATTCACCCGCTTCTTGTTCAAATTGTCCTGTTCCACCTTAAATGCTGCCTGAGGTGCCAGAATTTAACTGCTGCGTCATTTAAGGTAGAACGGTAAAAATTCTAATGAGAAACTGGCGAAAGAGAAACCAACTTCAGCTCCACGACTTAGTGTTTGACAGTTTCTTGTTGCAGATTAAAGGTATCAGGAAACCAGCTGGAGTGCTTATAAATACAGATAAATTTGTTCGTCTCTACATTATCGATGTTCGTCTTAAATCTTTCCTTTTGCCATTTCTTTAGCTACTAGCTAGGCGACACTGTTACCTGCGTTGCTGTGTAACCATCTGCGTTAAAGATTTAGTAGTTATGTGTTAACTCCAGCATTTAAGACCATTTATTGTTGAAACTGTGTTAGAACCGTGTGTTATAATGATCAGCTGAGCTTTATTTTACAGCAAAGGAGGATTTTGTTATTTTACCCAAAAATCAAGTTCTACTGTGGAGCCACAACAGGGCAGTAAAAGAGAGACAGGAGTGCAAGAAAGTGGGTTTGAGCACATGTGTCTTTCCTCCCACCTTTTAGAGGATTTCCTTTGTTATCGAGTTTTCTCTTGTCTTTTTGTAAAATTTTCAAATATACAACTTTCTTTGTCCTGGACTGGGCTTTTCTCTGGGATTTTTTTAAGAATATTTGTATTTACATGCTGCCACTTGGATGAAGAACCTTGTCTCCAACTCTCCACCCACTTTGGTGACTGGGAGTACTAATGGTTTCATACAGCGTAGGTGTGTGTGTGTGCATGCATGCGCATTGCTACGCCGTCTACTTGGCAATTACTCTGCATCTTCTCGGCTGGAGGACCTGCTGTCACCTCTGCTTTAGGGTTTGAAGGACAGGACCTTGTGGACATGGCTAGAACAGGTACTGAGAATCCCTTGAGATTCATGGTGGACAGCCAGAGAAACGGAATGATCCAGACCATCCTCTATGTACTGGTCTCCACTGCTCTGTTTGGTATAGCCTTGGAGACTTGCTTCATCTACCACCTCTACACGACCAAGCAAAGCTCAGTAAGTCCAAAATAGGCTATCACTCTTTTTGAAGTTCTTTTGAATCCACCTTTCCAGCTCTCTTTTTCAGCAACTGTCTTATTTGTTTACATATCGAAGCAGCATCTCATCTTGCATGGCTTTCTGATTTGTAGCAATCAAAATCTCTCCATTTTAGCTACCTAATAAAAATTCTGAAATAAAAAGTTTGAAACGTTTAGATTTTTTTGCAAAATTACTATGTCAGAAAGCATCACATAAAAAAAAAAAATTAACCAAAAGGATTGTTGATAACTGTCGACATCCCCATAACCATTTATTTTTTGAGTGTATTTCAAGACAGGCTGTTTCTTGAAAAGATAATCATCACGTTTCATCATGTGGCTCAGAAAGACCATGTTATATTTAGGTTTGGTTAGACTCGTCCTTTTCCTTAAAGCTCCCCATGAGCTGCAGTTTCCTCTCTGCAACTTGTACAAGTGCATAGAGTGACTAACCCAGAGCAGTGTACATTAGTGTACATTGTTACTGCATGTACTGCGCAGAAGTCAGATACAAGATATACAAGAGGAGAAGTCCTCTTGTATATTTAATTTCCAGCCAAAACGGCCATTGAGTAAAAGTTAATCATATTTTCAGTGTCAGAAAAAAGCAGGAGATGTATATTTAACAGGGTGTCCAACACTGCAACTCTAACGCTTACATTCTTAAAACCAACCAGTTACAGGTTCCCAAAGGTGTCACCAACATTATGTTACTGTTCATAGAGACATGAACATTCTCATAAGCAACTACCCAAACACACCTTAGCTGCTTAAATATAACCAACATCTAAGAGTGAACTTTGGAAAAATATGTGGAAAAACATTCCTGCAGAGCTCTTTGAAAAACTGAAAGCAAGTCTCCTGAAAGGAATGGAAGCTGTAATAGGAAAATACTAAATATTTTAACAATATATTTAGATGTTGAGGCTTCTGTATAATTGTAAATCTTAAAATTGTGCCTGCAACATCTGCATACATGAACACCTGTTAAACTCAAGTAGATGCTCACAAATTATGATGCATTATTTGTTTTTGTGCTTATTTTCAATTTCTTGAGCATTCGTCTACAATTTTCAGTCTTTCAGCTGTGCCACAGTCACAATCCTTTGTGCAACATGTTGTAATACATATATGTACTGTGTCTTAGGAACTTCTTCACGATAAGAATTTTACACAAACTGATGCAAGAAAAGGTAGGGAATACTCTCTGCAGAAGACATTATCTTGCTATATTTTTTATACTGTTTAATAGTCCTTTTGAATTTTAATTATTATAATAGATTTGTCGATCACCGTGCTGACCTTACCAGTTATGCTTCATACTTTTAGGAAATAACACCCATCATGCATGCAGCTTGCATCTTCATTACTTCCTGAGATGTAGAGGCTCAGTGCAACTTAACCTTAATAAGTCATTACTATAAGAAAAATGCCTAGTTGCCATAAGTGAACTGTAGTATGAGTAACAAATACCAAAGATTTGAAGGATCTGATGTACTGCAGTGTGGAGATATAGATCTGTTTTTCAGCAAGCCATAAAACAGCAAACATTCACCTCTAAATCTTCTGCTTAAACGCAATTTAAAGCAAAGAGTAATCCCTTAAAAATGTATGTGTCTACCATTAATAGTGCAAAAGTTCTTACTTTTTTCAAAGCAATTATTTTAAGCCCAACATTAGATATTCAATTTAAAAGGCTCTATATCTCAGAAACTAATGAAGATACAGGCCCACGATTTTGCACAGTACCTATTTAGCACATTATCTTGCACTTATTATTAGCATATATCTTGAAAGTATTAAGCAAAGGTGAAAGCTATCAATTTTTTATATATAAAATTTAGTGATTTTAAGTGGATGTATGCAGAGTTGGGAATTACTTTAAAATGTATTTCTTTACAGATTATTGATGATCTGTAAAAAATTTAACTGTACCATAATCCAAGGGATTACTATATTAAAGTAATGTAATCTGACTGCACTGTTTAATGAATACTAAATATATCACAGAAACGGTGACTGATCTCACATTAAGCAAAAATGCCAAACCTAAGAGAAGCAATATGTGGAAATGGTTTAAACATGAAAAAATAAATACATATTTGTATAACAGTATAATTTGAGTTTAGACATGTATACTCAAAGCTTGAAAGTCAGAAATTGAGCTTTGCCTCAGGAAAAAAATTGGTCCTCTGAGAAAAAAAGCTCTAAGACTAAAACACAGGGGAACAAGTAATCACTGCAGAATGATCCAGTACATTGTATCAAATGCAACATTGTTAAAAACTTTACTGCTGTCCTGGGACTTTACTGTACTGACTGTACTGTACTGACTAATAAGATTTCATGTTGCTGCGTTGTGCTAAGACTCTGATGATGGTAATTTGAAGATGCTCCCTAATCAGCTCTAAGCAATGTCAGCAGTTCATAGAGATCAACATACTCGTACTACGAGTTTAATAAGGCATTGATTTCACATGAAAACTAAAAGGGAGCTGATTGTCTTAGTTACGAATAATGATTATTTACACATATTAACGTTTGGCACCATCATTGAAAAGAAGAAAGAAAGCAACCATACATGAGAAAATTAAAGTTTATTGCTTACGAGACTTCATTTGGTAATATTTCAGACTGTTAGTTCAAACCGGGCAAGTGAAGGTTATTAAAGGATTGATTAATAATCAATCAAACTAGAATTTTACGGAACAACAAACCAGAATAAAGAGTTGAGTTCCAGATCGGATCAGATCAGTCTGCTGTGGGCGAGTCTGTCAGTGTGGAAGATCAGGGTGAACGCCTGATTCAGAAATCTTCAGGAAAACGCTGCAGATCTCACTTCTGACGATAACAATAAATACTTATAATATTTCTATAGATCGGCTGAATAAAACACTGTGAACTGCTGCTGTGAGGGGGACTCTTCAGAATTCTTTCCTGGCAGCAGGACCCTCCTCCCCCTCGCCCCCAAAATAAAAACCTCTTTAAATCTACACGACTCATACGACATATTTATCATCAAAATGGCAAATTTCAGGGAAAGACGACGAGTATGCATGTGAATGTAATCCTGCTGGTGAACATGTTATAACGTCCCTGTTCTGATTACTGTCTTTTTTTTCCTGTAACTGTAATGGAATACAGATACCTTTTCTTTTTGTATCATGGAAGCCTCTACAGTCCCTCCAAAGAAGACAAGACCACCTCCATTTAAGGCTTTAAAGCCTCTAGCACACCTGGGAGGTAAGGCTGTCTAATATCTACTGTCTTCACAGCACAACACCATTATCTGTTCAGTATCACTTTACTGTAGGGCTGTTCGAGTTCCAGTTCTAATACTATTTATTTTTTCTTTGTCATCGTTGTTGTTTATGGTGAAGCTGGCAGTGAACGGCCCGGTGCAGACGGAGTCATGCCGTGGAACGACACAGGGGAATCTGAACTTCATGAGCTGGAGTACAAAGAAAATAAGCTGGTGGTTAAGAAGGAGGGCTATTACTACATCTACTCCAAACTCTGCTTTGATGCAGATGAAGATTTGTTTAACCATTTCATGCTGAGGACCTCGCATCGGTACTTCGGACATTCTATTCATCTTCTACGTTATGCTTACCGTGGAAATAACTCTAAAACACTCAAAAAAGAAGGCTTCATTCAAAACAGCTACCTTGGTGGTGTGTTCCATCTTATCAAAGGTGATGCTGTTTTTGTTGTGGTAAAAAATGGCACGGTTCACTTGTTTTCTCTGGCAGATAACTATTTTGGCATGTTCATGGTGTAGCCAGAATGTCTTTAACTTATTAAACCCGAATAGTGCAGGGCATGATGAGCTTATTTGCTGTTGGACATGTAAAAATGCATTAAGTGATGTGACAATATTTAGCTTGACACTTGTAAATAACTGGCTTGGAAGGCCACATGATTGCATGATCATCTGAACATGATTTAGCTAAAACTGCAGACTTGTAGATGACTGTAGAAAAATGATGTACCTTTTACTGTTGAGTAAAGACTTTTTACTGCTAAACTGTCCTGTAAAATACTCAGTTTTAAGTACTTAATAGCCCAAATGTGGGAATCTCCACTCTTAAAATAAATAATTCTTGGCTTGGACATATGATCTTTGGCACATTGATATAGAACTGTTGCATTATGTGGAAATTCTTTAAAAAATAGCTTTAAATAGTTCTTTAAAGATCCACCTATTTAAATGTACCATTTTTTTCCACACCTTCAAAGTTCAGTCTTAGAAGTTGGTTGCATTTTCTGCTTCCTATGGTCCAAGTAATCCCAAACTTGGTGATAGAGGTCTTAGAGGTCTCCTGCTTTTTCCACTTATTTTCCTTTCCCTTCCTTATGCAAGTAGCTTATCTTACATCTAATCCCCTCAGAAATATCTCCTCAAATAACTTGTACTTAATGTCCACTTAATAAAGTAAATGAAGAGTGGTCTCTGACTTTTGCACACATATGTAGATTTGGTATGTTTGAAAATAAGTGAACACAGAGAACACACCTTTGCACATTTTAATGCACAATTACTGTTTATTTGCTGAATTTAACACACTGGGGAAAAACAGAACATAGTTTACAACACAAATTTATGTTTATTTTCCCACAATGACATGTGCCCGACGTGTGCAAAACCACACAAGCACTGATACTTTTTTTCATATGTGGTAACATTTTTAATATTTGACGTGTGCAAAAAAAAGCACATTTATTTATTCGTATGTGAAATTCATGTGTTGTTTCTGTAAGGGTTTTATTACAGCAAATAAATAGCAGTTGTGCTGTAGTATTTGCCATATTTAACTATGTTTACATTAGATGATACGTTACCAAAGCATGTGGCAGAGATATTCAAACTTTTGCATTTAACTGTACTGGCAGTTCATCCAGGCCTTCCTGACTAAAAACTGAATTGTTTTTAATCATTGTTGCCACTGTTTATGTGTGCAGTTGTTTCCCTTAATACATTAATAAGTTATTGCAAATGCAAGCTGACCAAGAAAATACATACTTAATAGCTAAGTGTTCCCATGTTTTTATAGCCAGAATATGTGCTATGGTATTGTGTATTATTTACATCTTCTGCACTAAGATGTAAACAAAGTCATTCAGAATGGTTTGATGTGAAATGCAGTGTTCTAGACAAACCTATGGAGTCAGAATTGTTCACAGTGATGGTGATAGGAACCGGACATCTGAAGAGTTAAATGCCTCTAAAAGCTCCTCAGAAAAAAACTACTACATGAAATAGTTACGAATATGCTGACTGAAGTCTGAGACGCTGTGAAAAAAAGACAGAATTGTTATCCAGAGTTTATAAGGGAGTCTGTATTAGAATAAATATCCCGAATCTGGTCTATATAATTAAAAATCCATTGTTTTAATCTATGAAATAAAAAAGGGGGGCAGCTACAGTTTCATGTATTTTGACCATGGTAACTGTTGCACTGTAACACATTATGGCAAAGGCCGACTGATACAATCATATACCTATAACTCTGTAAATCGTAGAGAAGCCTACCATGGTGAATAAAGCTATAATAAACTATGGAACACTCGATAAAGAAAACGTTCAGCATGTATGGGAATAAATTACAAGAGTCTTATAAAAGATGTATATTTCTTGCTTTTCCCCTCGTGAGATTTGTCGCTCGTCACTTTTTAGAAATAAAGTTGCTAAGTCAAAAGTCACTAAGGCCCAATCACATTTAACCCCTTGTTTCTACCACTTAGCCCTACCCCTCTGATTTGAGCATTCACGCCTAGGGGTAGGGTGTCCCAATTTTTGTTGTGATAGAGGGATAGGGTGAAGTGTTGGGGCTACATGGCCCTGCAAACAGAGGTTTTTCAGAGGCACACTCCAAACGGAGTGTTATGAGAAAAAAGCAAGATGGCTGCGCAATTGACCAAAGAAACCCAAAAATGTAAGTATTTCCTCCATTTAAAAAATTCCAATAGCTACTGTATTATCTCAGTTCAATGTCATTTTGATGTATTACGGTCTTTTTCTTCATAACAAGCATTAAATTCGCTAATGGTATGCTGATGTCTCGGTAGCTAGCTAGCAAATTTTCCCTTTCCACATTAAATGGTGCAGCAGTTACATTCTAGCACCTCTCTTTAAGGTGGAATGGGAAAATTCGAACAAGAAGCTGGCGAATAGCTGCTTCATATCACTGAAGAATTAGTGGTGGGTGATAATAAATAATTGTTGCATCCCCCTCTTTGAAGGCATATGAAGCTCTAAATTTAACAAAAGACCAGCAGCGAAGTCTTTTCAGTCTTATTACTGCAGACTGTCAGGGTTGCCTACTAGTAGCATTTTAAGTATTGTTCTTTTTGAAAACAAGGGGTAGTTTATCACAAAAGCTTCAGTGGTTGTATGAGCACATAATTCATATTCATATTAAATATTTTGGCACTACATGGCTATAGACTATTAGTCAGACACTAAACATACCCTTGGGTAAATCCAGTTCTGGAGAGACAGAGACGCTGCTATCAACATATGCTATATGTCAAACATGGTTGGCTAAAAAAGAGATGCAGTTTAAAAAAATGATGCACTATTTGAAGATCACATGGCAGCCTACATTCAAGTAGACTGTATGCCTATAAAAAACCCACCAATCACCTGATAGCATGAATCAAGTCCCATAACCCAAACCCTGCTTTTAATTCCTGGGTTACCTTGTGTCAGAAATACATTTGCATTGATGTTGTGAACTAGCAGCAGCCAGCTCCCTCTGTTGGCCAAAACAAGCGTGATATGTCTGCTCTGCTGCCAGGTCATACAGCAGGTATAGGCCCCAAAATGGGGACTGTCTATGGAAAATGGGGATGTCTGGTCACCCTACCGTATACCCCAAAAACTGCATGAAAACTGCAGCCTGATTCATACCTAGAGACAGAAAGACAAACCACGCCCCGTGGGGGAAAATTTTCTGCAAAGTTTAAAAGCGAGTGATTGTGAAATTGTGGGAGACTGCACCAGAGCCACTTTATGAGAAGCCTGGCCACTTCCTATTTCCCCCTTTATATCAAAAACAGGACTGTAAAACAGCAGAGGGAGCTCACAAGCGAATCCTCAATGAATAGGAGTAAATGGAGCTAAATGGCTAAAAATGAAAAGTTAAAATAATTTCTAATCACTTGCCCAAAACATTCCTTTAATTTTAGAAAGTAGAAGACTTTAGAAAACTTACCTATATATTTCCTTTTTTCTACAGCAAACGGGTTTCGGGCAGGAGAACACTGGCATTACTGCTACTGAGTGCTGATTGGTTGGTGAGCGGAGCAGCTCATTGGCTGTTCGCTCACAGACGTCATCGATGTACATGAGGCGCCATTTTAAACTCCTATTACTCGAGTTTAAAGGCTCTTAAAATATAACAGCAGTGTTAATATGTTCTATGCTGTTCAGTGTTCAGGAAATAAACGTATTCTTTTACATTTTTGCTCAAATGCTCCATCTTAACCCATTCATTTTGGACTCACTCAGGAGCGCCCTCTAGGATTTGAGAAACAGGGAAGTCATTACGGAGAGGTAATTCTCCTCTCTACAAGTTCTCTTACCACACCTTGAATCAGCTTTGACATAAAATGTCAACACCAGCCTATTTCAATACTCTTCTGCCCGATGAAAGGGCCAGATATATAAAAAACTAAATCTGAATTGACTCCCTCAGTTTCTCTTTTCTATCCCAAAATCGGTGTCAAAAATTACTCCACAGAGTAGCCAGCGATCACTTATTTTGACTTGTACCATTACCTGGCTGAATTATGAGGCAGGCTAAGCTAGTCAATATTGTCATCTATTTAGCTAATGTTAGTAAATGCTGTGGTCAAAATGCTCAAGTCTATAGCCTACTATTAGACTGTATGATATTAGCACTATTATCAATATCCTGCTTGTTCTGTATTAACCTGAATCAGATAACTATATGAATGTGTCATCTTGCTTTTGAGAGCTAAACGCCCAAGTACAGTGGTACTATTACATATTATTAGCACTAGTAGCTAATACCATTACCTTCGTTGTTATTTTGCTAGCAAGCTAACCAAGAGCAAGTTAATGCAGCTAAGTTAGAATCTAAATATCTTAACTAACAAGCTAAACTGAGCTTTAAACAGACATTTGCCATAAAAGAATTCTCAACAGTTTTTAAATTTAGTGTATTCTAAAGCAGCAAAGTAAGAAGAAAAGAATAAACACAGTACCAGTTTAGCTAGGATTAGCTTATTAGCTAAGCTCCCTCAGGGCAGAAGTTGAGCTTTGTACGGTCTCGGCAGGTTTCGGGAGACGTGTTTGTCAGCTGATAGCTAACAACACCGTTTTCTTCAGTTCATTTGAAAACGATGACCATTTGTGCAAAGTCTGTTGTTCATGCGTGCTGCTTCTTCTCTTGACTAAACTCACCGTCTCTGAACTTGTCCGTTTTTTTTTTTTTGGCGGTTTTAAGTTGCTGCTCTGTTAACCGGGCTTTCTTCTAATTGGTTTATGAGCTGATTTTTTACGCTGTAATGTTATTAAAAATTAAACTAGCAAAGTAAAAGAATTAAAAATGAACTCAAGTAAAAGTTACAGGGGCCCACTGAGATCACAACAACATTTAAGAAGCTAACAAAAGGTAAGAACACAACATTATTACATTTTACTCCAAAAAGTACAATTATAGTGAAAAATGTACACAAGTACAGTAACAAGAGTCAATGTAATTTGTTTCTTTTTACCTCTGCCATGGAGAAGAGTCTGACTGCAGAGTCGCAGATTTACACCTGCAGTTCTACTCCAGCGGTTTCAGGCCAGGGGAACGCACACACAGTAGGACAGTGCGATTGTGCCATGTAAACGAAGTCCTTATAGGAAAGTTGAGGGTTATGAGCGTCTTGTTCATTTTTCAACCAGTGGCCCGTGTCCTTGTTTATAACGGCTCTGATGTAAACAGCGACTATTTGTGCTGGTTGTATGTGTCGCCATGCATATTTCCATTCAGGAAGGGATATCATTACCAATATATGAATCAACCATTGCTAACCGGTTAAACTATAAGCCATCGTTCGTGTAATATTTAGCCGGCGAATCTCTGTATGCATTCAAACCAAAGTTCTTTTAGCCTAAAGCTTCAAATATAACGTTAGACCAGCACAAATTTATCATGCATTTATTGGAAATCCACATAAAACGACTGAAATGTTGATTAGCCTCAAACTCTCTAAGAAAAACCAAAACAAGTGTCGACGCATGCACTGAATGCCACTGGCTTGAACCTGCTGGAGTGAAACTGTGGCTTTGCGGCTCTGCAGACAGATATTATTGTGGGTGCTGCCATGTAGTATCTCAGCGCCTTCTTTTAAACCAGACAGATATTATTGTGGGTGCTGCCATGTAGCATCTCAGCGCCTTCTTTTAAACCATAGAGAGCCTCAATGTGGCCAAACACAGACAACATATACAGAGAAAACACAGAACAGCAGCAACAAACACACAAAAGAAATATTGAGTCCAGGGGTAGAAAGAGTTTAATACAGTATGTAAACATTGTTGTAAATCATGCCGTTCACTCCTCAGTTTATACAGTCCATATATGAAAAGTAAACTGCAAAAATAGCCCACTTTGAATTCATCATGGTTGTGATGTCATGTATCATTGCAGGCTTCCAAAAGATCTGAATGTCTGAGGTTTATATTTTCTGACGTCCCTGAGCATTTCAGGCCTTAACAGCTGGTTCTGTTCATTTCAGCCTGGATGGCTTTTTGAAAGGGGCAACTAATCAGAACATTTCAGCAGATACAAAAATAAGGAGGGGTTGGAAAATGGTAACATAAAAAAACGAAATGTGTACCCCAAAAAAGTACAGTACTGCCACATATAAAGGCTTTTCAAGTCAGAATCACCACTGATTGGTTAAAATGGGTTTCAGTGGCAATTCATAATTTCAGGGCAGCTTAAGATCAGCTTAATTTGTGTCTCAGAAACGGACCCACAGTACCCACTACTCTGTAGATCCAGCAGCGTCACCTCACGCAGACTGTCCTGTCCAGGAGTCTGTGAGGAGTATGTGAGTCCAACAAGCAGACTTATCAGTCTTAAAATAACCTGCGAACCGCATAAACTTGTGCAAAGGCAACAGTTAGGATGAGTAGTAGATTAACGCTGGACCAGAAGGACACGCGCCACAGGTTATCCTCCAGCAGGTAACGATCTCGCGCCTCAAACGCCCGCAGCACTGCCTGCGTCTGACCACTGCGCTCTAGGTTCCTGTGAACAGCCTCCATGACCTCCTGCAGGACAGACAGAGAGTGAAAGAGAAAGTACTGTACTGAGCAAAAGTGTAAATTCAAGGGGAAAATTTTTGCAAATTTCTGCAATAAGATGTAAACAAATTCATTCAGTGTGGTTTCGTGTGAAACACATCGTTCTAGAAAGTCAGAATTGTTCACAGTGGTGGTGATAAGAACCAGAAATCTGAAGCATTTAATGCTTCTAAAAGCTACACCACAGAAAGTCACTATATGAGATGGTTATGAATTCACTGGCTGAGACTTTGTTTTACGATAGATTTGAGATAAGATTTCGGCTTAAAATATATTTTTAACCCCTTTAACCCTGAGAACCTCTATGAGTCCACACTTAGTTCACGGTACCTACTGAATCTGAATTACTGAATGAGTCTATTATTCCTTTTTAATTCATATTCATCTTGATTACCATATTTTACGATTAATCAAAATTCTTAGGTATAATATTTACATATATATATATATATATATATATATATATATATATATATATATATATGTGTATAAAGAAAACATATATTTTCAGATTTACCATCAACATTTGATATAAAAGAATAGATGTGTGCAGTGAATAAAATGGCTATATTTGTGTTGGAGATATTTGGCTCCTATCAACATCTCTGTAAAGGAATCTAAGTCGTTTCTCATCATTTCACATCAAACCGCTCTCAGCTTTGATTACATCTCAACCGCTGACTTATTTCGAAATTTTGAAAAATCAGTAAATGTTCCTTTACGTAATTTTGAACAAACTTGCTTATGTGGTTTCTGACACTGTATGACACACTGTCTATGAAAACAGAGAAAAGGAAAGACAAAATACAGACTTCATAGTGCTACTACTGTTTTTAGCTATTTAATAGGATTTTGTCTGTTTTGATAGATAACAGTGTCAGAAACCACATAAGCAAGTTTATATGAAGCACTAATGAATGCCAGCAACAGCATTTATCATCGGGACAATGACATCATAGCATTTTATTAAATTATAAAAAGCATTTTCACCATACATGATGTACCTTGATGTCATCCAGCTTGTACCCCAGTGTGTCTTCAGGCTCCGCTAAATTTTCCCAGTCATCAGCCCCCTCCTGTGAGTCCACAATCACCTCCATAAACACCATCTTCTCCACCAACGTACTGAAGCTGTTATCAAAGCAGATCCTGTAGTCGCCCTCCTCCGTGGGGTCCACCCTGAGACACAGTAATCAATAGAGCAAGAGAGCAGAGGACAGTTACAGAGAGTATGCCAAAGATGGTGAAGATAAGTGGAGACCAACTGTTTAGAAGGAATGACTCTGGGGACCTTTGGATTGACTAGTAGGGGTGTCAAACACATTGATCATGGTGCATCTATTCAGGTTGCAATTCAGCTAAATCAGTTTTGGAGCATTAGAATCAATATGTGATTCTACTTGTTCATTCAGTCAAGCGATTGATCATGTGTACTTCTGTTGGTATTAAACCTGCAACCACCCAGGTCTTTTGCCGAGAAGATTGGTGAGCCCTGCTTTAGGGTCACTTTGTTGGATCATTAGAGCTACGGGTGGGCAATATGGCAAAATTTCACATCGCAATACATTTTCACGATACACATTACGATTTTACATTTTCCAGAGTTTTACACACTGTGCTGCACTTAATCTACTCATACAAAATAATCATGCTGTCTTTGTAATAATACATTCAGTTGGTCAGTGGTCTTTAAGCACTGACAATAACCACAATATGCTCTGAAAAGGGTATTGTAACATATTACGATAACATTAAAGTATTGTCATGTTGTTCACTGCTAATCAGTGGTGGACGAAGTATGCAAATCATGTACTTGAGTTAAAGTAGATACCCAAGGTAAAATATTACTCCAGTAAAAGCAGAAGTCCTCCCTTTGGACCTCCACTTGAGTGAAAGAACAAAAGTATTTGCCTTCAAATGTACTTAAGTATCAAAAGTAAAAGTACTAAAAGATTAAAGATTGACTCTGATGTCCTATTACCATTTTTGTAACAAGACTCTGCTTCATTAACTCATTTTAGGTAAGAATACTCCAGTGTCACTCTTGGTAAACCAATCTTTTTAATAGAATGTCATTAATTAGTCTGACACTGATCTCTATTAAAATGATCATAAGCACAAAACACTGAAGGCAAACAATTTCCATTGTGTCTGAAATAACCTTTTGCAAACAAGCAAAGTTTCGGTTTAAGTTTTATTTGCAATTTAGTTACAAGTTTAAGTTTAACAAAAACTTGCTTTAAACAGGTTCACACATGAGTTTTCCTCTACTATATTCCATCTGCAGGTCTCTGTTCATAAACATAAACCAGCAAAAACAAATTTACTATAAAATGAAATAGTGTTTGTATAAATTCAGAAAAAGACAGATGCCAGTCACAACTGCATACGTGTACATATTTCTATATTGTGGTCTATTTACACAAAGTTAGGTTAGTTCATCATTTATGTTGAATAGACTCTCCCAAAATTTCACGCTGCGGCTTGACGTTGAACTGTGTGCTTGCCCTGGGTCAGTTTGTCCGACAGGTCAAAACAAGCTCAAAACAAAGTGCGCGCTGTGCCCTGATTGGCGTGTTTGCTTCACGCTTCTTTCGTTTTGACATGTTACGTTTTTATACACACATAAGCCAAAAGGAACGACAGATTTTGCATAAATTAGTGGAGTAAAAAATAAGATATTTGACTTTTAAATGGAGTTGTCACGCATCCTCCGAGTGCCTCGTTGGATTCGGACTCGATCTCCCAGAATCCTCTGGGAGATCACATGACTTCCAAACAGCCGACAAACAACGATAATCCAGAGCCGTATAGTATAAAGTATAAAGGCTTTATGTATCCAGATAATCGTATAGCCGTATATCTCTCTATAGGGCTCTGCGATAATCCATCTCCGGGAGGTCACCTGACTCATCACATGACTGTGCGCTCCTATCCGCGCTCTCGCTCTCCCGAATACTAACGAGTGTCACCTGTGTTATTGACCATATGACGAAACTAGTTTAGTATATAAGCCCGGGCTTTAGATTAGGGCAGTTGCGAGGTTTTGCATCCGTTTCTGTGATCTACTGAGCGGTTATTCCTGTGTCTGTATGTCGTGCATGACCTTTGCCTTTGTTCTTTGCCTTTGCCTTTTTGCCCAGCCCTTCGGATTGTTTGCCTGATTTTGGATTTTGGACTGTGACCCTCTGCCTGTGTTTTTGCCTTTCCCTTTTTGGATAGTTTGCCTCTCGTGTTATGTTTGTGATTTTGTCTCTCATCTGTTTTCTGGAATTGACCCATGCATGCTTTATGACCACGACCTTGGACTGTGAATATCCCAGTAAAGCCTCCTTTGTATTTTATCTCTGCAAGCGTCTGAATCTGTTCGGCACGTTACAGGAGTGAAAGTAAAAAGTCGTCCAAAATGGAAAAACTTCAGTAAAGTACAGATACACGAAAAACTACTTAAGTACAGTAATGAATTACATTTACTTAGTTACTGTCCACCACTGCCGCTATTTAGAGCCTGTCACTAAGTAGAAACTTTCTGAATGAGGTAAACATCTGGCTGTACCAAAGACCCCTGAGAAAACACATGTAAACACAAAAGTCTTTCCATGTAATATTTTTTTTCTTCTTTTGTATTCTGTGCTGTACAGCATGATTATTACTCGACCCTCCTCACACGCGTTTGTGGACAAATGTTCAATGACGTGCTCATGATAAATAAGGTCTATGACTTAAACTGTACAAACCAATTCCAAAAAAATTGTAAACATAGGCTTATTCTGAAACTGATGCCTGCAACACGTTCCAAATCGTTGGGACAGGGACAATTAAAGATTAGAAGCATTGTGAAATGTCCAAAAACATCTTAAACAGGTGATGCAATCATGCTTGGACATAAAAGAAGCATCCAGGAAAGGCAGAGTCCTTTATGAGCAAGGATGGTCATGGCCACTTTGTAGAAAATGCATCAGAAAAAAAGCGAACAGTTTAAAAATAATGTTCCTCAGCCAGGGATTGCAAGGATTTTAGGTATTTTACCCTCTACAGTATATAATGTCATCATAACTTTCGACCCCTCATACAGCACTGCTTTAAAATGGCCAAAATTTTATTACACACTTCTATAACCTGGGAATAGCTCAACCAGTTTGCACTGAAGTCTCTTTAGTTACTGAATAATAGGACTTAGATTCTAACAAGCCTGATATTTTAAGAGGTTAAAGGCACAATGAAGTGAAACATAAAATATTATGTTTTCGTACCGTTTTCAGGTCCAATTAAATCCAGTGGCTAATTATCCTCTCTTTGTAATCAAACATGCAGTTGGGAAGTGTCTTCTAGGTACTGACAAAATCCACAATGTGCTCAAAGAAGCACACAGTAACATACTATGATGTAATGTATCATAATAGCAATAAATATCATCATATTGCCTAAGGCAACACATTTTTATTATCAATTTGGCTCATTAAACAGGAAAAATTGGCACTGGCCAATTTGACGGTAAAGAAATTGGAATCGACTAAATTCATAATAAGTGTATCCCTACACCGTCAGAAAAAATGGTTCTGTACAGGTAAATTTTTATTCATGAAGGTACAAACGAGGTAAATGTTCCCTCCAAGGTACAACAGTAGTCTGTCCACCTCAGTCACAGTTCAGTACAGAGTGTCCTTTTTATTTTGACTGTTTTTCCTGTTCCTGTAAAGTTACCTTTCCAGACAGATGAGGCTTTGTTACAACAGCAATGTTCTAAATACGTAATATAAGCGACACTGGCAAGAGCGGGAATCAGCCATGCAAATGATATGCAAATGACTCCTCCTGTCCTGGTGTCCTGTTAGCTGATGGTGTAACATTCTATAATAAACATATAATAAATACACACAATAATAAACGTTCGTGTTAGTGTGTCAAGGTGTGGATCAATGCTGCACTAATTCACACTCACATATGGAAGCCGTCTGATTTCCTGAACTCAGAGACCAGCCTTTGGCCATGGGGGGAGATTAGTGTGAAGCCTACGTCCAGCCCAGAGCCTGCAAGAACCTGTAAAGAGAAATGCAGAAATGGAACAGGTGAGTCCACCTGGGTTCATTAGCTCCAACAGGTCAAATACATATGGAAAAACACAGACGGAGTACTAGTGGCTCATAAGGTACATTCACAGGATCAATGCCATATTAGTCTATCTAACAAGAACTCGAAGACATACGCATTTCTGTCCCTCTTTTTTGCATAAGCAAATTCTACCTGCTCTCGACAACTGTCTCTGCAGGCTTGTGCTGCCTTCTACTCCTGAAGAGTCCGCAGCACTACACAGTTTTGTGATCCTACAGTTTAAGATGAGGCTTGTGCATCAGCTGATACATTGAAAAGGTTATGGTGAGCATGTGAAAGTGAACATTTCTGCATTAACTACATCAATAAGATGTAGGTAGAGTCATTCAGAGTTGTTTGATGTAAAAAAACATTGTTACCGAGTCAGAACTGCTGATAGGAACCAGACGGCTGAAGATTTAAATCCCTCTAAAACTTTATCACAGAAAGTTATTACCTGAAATGGATACAAGTACACTGTTTGATGCCTTAGACATTGTTTTATGATAGTTTTGAGACAGGCTTTTGGCCTGAAACAGAATTTTTTAAATAATTTCAGGGGGAGAGATACATTTACAGTGTTACAGCAAAATAGTCCCTAAATAAAACTTATTTTTTTCCAAATTTACCACTATTTTAGCATGATTAACATTCCATATAAACACACAAAAGACATGTGTAGGTTCACTGACGACTTCGGACAGTCAATAAAATGGCTTTATTTACATTATAGACATCGTGACCCCTGGTTCCAATCACCACTGTAAAGAAATCAGAGCCTGTAAGTTTCTCTACAATTAGCCACTTCACATCAAACCGCTCTGAATAACTTTGCTTACATCTGAACCACTGAATTATGCAGAAATTTAGAAAAAAACCAGTAGAATTCTCTTTTAAAGCAAAGAAACGCTAAACCACTTTACTGCTAGAACTGGCCGTGGTTTGAACTAAAGCCCAGTTGTCATTATGGAGAGTGAATAATGCAGGCATAGAGTCCACTGACTGGCTTTGATCATCTCACTGACTGGACTGGAGCTCTTGACGTGGTCAGCAGCTGCACAGCTATATTCCACATAGAGCCCAGAAACATAGACCATTATTTCAGAATCAAAATGAATAAAACACATACAAGTCAGTGCAATGTAGTAGGATACAACTATTAGCAGCAAGGGCTGCATGATGTGGACAAAAATACCACATTGCAACTGCAATATGTAATTGTTATAAAGGGACAGTTCAAAAACTTGCATTTAATATGTTATTTGTTGTGTTATGTAATTTTCTGCAGAGCAGCACTCTGTCCATCAGCCTCATCACTTTGACAGAATTCATGATTTTGTATTCTTTTTGTGTTTATATCCATCAATATTCTCTCTCACTACAATACCCAGCATGCATTATGTAAATACATTCAACTACCGGGAATCCCCTAATGAAAATGCACTGATGTAAAGGTTAGTAAATACAGATGAGATATTCAGCTTATTAGCAGTAACGTCAGCTATCTGGCTTCCTTCCGCATTAGCCTACAGCCCTCCCTCATGTATTCGCCCCAAAGCACTTGTAATCCTTCCCACCTTCAAGATACATCATCAGAAAGGGGTTTTCTAGGCTTTATACTGGAAAAACTAACTCTAGAGACTCTTTTGGCACAGCTGTAGGATGAGTGTAGGCCTGTTTACAGTTGAAGAAATGGTTAAATTTTTTCATTTTGGCTGGAATGCACCATTAAAACCACACTGGTATGAGATGGCCTGCATTATTTTGACCAAACATACGTACATTTTTTGGATTATGTCACTACCTTCCTCAAAACACCCACACAAACGCTCATCTGGAACATCTGAGATTACTCAGGATGCTCACAAGAAGCGACTACTTACAGCACTCATTTGCATATTGCAGTCTTTGAGATAACGATGACTAAACAATATCGTTGCTGTCAGAACAAAACCTTGCAACTGCTTTTTTGTCGTTTATCATTTTCTGACATAATTTGAAAACGCACTGATCACTGATCAGCTGCTCTTTACATTATGTAAAAAAATTCATGACAAAAGCACAAAGACAAAATCTCTTTACATGAACTTACATTGCAAGTTAAGACTATTTTTTTTCCATCTCCTCGGTTAGGGTTAAAAGGAAATGACACACAGTGGCTCCAGACATTTGAAGTATTCAGACATTTGTGCCATACTTAAAATGTAAAAGTTCATTGGGTTGGGAAACAAAATGTTCAATCAAGTGCGTTTGTATTTTAAACAGGCCATTCCAATACTGTCACTTTCTTTTTGACAAAGAATTCTTTCAAAAGGTGCCCTCTTTAAAAAGATGGTTTTTCAAGTGTTCTTTACTAAAGAAAATGGTTCTATATAGAACCATGAACACTCAAAAAACCTTTATATGAATCAAGGGTTCCTTAGATTGTTAAAAAATGTTTTGAAAAGGGTTCTACATAGCACCAAAAAAGTGTTCTTCTGTTGTGTTTTATGTTCAAAAAGGACACATACAACACATTCTCCATCAATCTGAAGAACCATTTCATCCATTTCATCTATTGTTACAACTCTTATCACAACAATAGCAGAACCCTTTTTGGTGCCATATAGAACCCTTTGTTGAGATAGAACCATATACAGCACATTCTTCACTGTCTTTACTTGTGTGGCTGATGAGTTTCACCAACTCTACACACTTAAAAAAGGTTCTTCAGTAAAGGTAATGGTTCTTCTTAGGACCGTGAGTTCTATATACAAACATTTACATGCTTAAACGGTTCTTTGCATGGTGAAATCATTCTTCAGATTGAAGGAGAATGTGTTGTGTATGGTTCCACAAAGGACCTGGTTCTATATAGCACCAAAAAAGTTTGTTCTATTGTTTTCTAGTTTCAAAAGGGACACATACAACACATTCTCCATCAATCTGAAGAACCATTTCACCATATAAAAGAACCACTTAAGCATGAAATGGCTCTATATAGAACTTATGGTTCTAAATAGAACCATTCTCTTTACTAAAGAACCCTTTAAGAACCATCTTTTTAAGTGTATATGTAAGAAAAACAGCCCCAGACTTTCTCTGCTTTAGTAGCCTCAGTGTGATCTACAGTTCTTCTCCAGGGTTCCTCCACACAGATGGAGTCTACCATCAATCTGATGTTGTGCTAAAAGTCTCTCTGAAATAAATGTCATTTTGTTAAGCATTTAATAAAGCAACCCAAAGAAAGTCAATAAAGTTTACCAATGCTTAAATGGTTAAAGTGGCCAAATACTTTTTGGTGCCACTGTATTGAATTACACATCCTGGAATGATCAAGATCTTCAATTCTGACCTCAAATGAGCAGCTCTACCATCTCTCCCCATTTGAATGATCGTTGGAGGTGCTGATAGTGATGCCAATTGTGTTTGCTGACACACTGAGAATGTAAGGCGTAGGTCAGGAGGAGCCTGATTAAAACGAACAGCAACAGCAGATTCTCGACAGAGTAATCTGTGATCAGAGATGTGGCATACAGTCGTCCTCCTACTACAGCTCTCTTAATGTCATCTGATTCAGCGAAAATCTGATGACTACCCCACACTGAGGCAGAAAAAACAATGCAAATGATTAAGACAAAGAAAAGCTTAACGTTTGCTCACAAAACCACAGAGCTGCAATTCGAATATTTCCAGAAACTTTCTCCTCAGAGCATGACTGACTCATTATCAACTCTGCTCTCATTCATTTCTACTGCGGGTTCTTTTGTTCCAGTTGAAACTCCGATATGTGAAAAGTTGGAACGCTGTGCAAAATGTAAATAAAAACTAAATTCAATGATGTGCAAATCATTTAAACCCTATATTTCATTGAAAATGGTACAAAGACAACAAATTAAATGTTGAAACTGAGAAATTTTATTGTTTTTTGAAAAATATATGCCCATTTTGAATTTGATGCCAACAACACGTTCCAAAAAAGTTGGGACAGGGGCATGTTTACCTCTGTGTTTCATCACCTCTTCTTTTGACAACACTTTGTAAGTGTTTGGGAACTGAGGAGATAAACTCCTATAGTTTTGAAAGTGAAATGTTTTCCCATTTTTGCTTAACATAGGATTTCAGCTGCTCAACAGTTCAGGGTCTCCTTTGTCATATTTTTCATTTCATAATGTGCCAAATGTTTTCAGTGGTAACAGGTCTGGATTGCAGGCAGGCCAATTTAGCACCCGGACTCTTTTAACATGGAGCTATGCTGTTGTAATACGTGCAGAATGTGGTTTGACATTGTCTTGCTGAAATAAGTAAGGCCTTCATTGAAAAAGTCTGGATGACAGCATATGTTGCCAAATCATGTTTATTGATGGTGCCTTCATAGATATGCACGTCACCCATGCCATGTGCACTAATGCACCCCTATACCATCATGAATACTGGCTTTTGAACTGTGCACTGATATCAAGCTGAGTGGTCTTTAGCCCAGAGGACACAGTGTCCATGATTTCCAAAAAGAAATTCAAATTTTGATTTGTCGGACCACAGAGAAGGTGGCAGCATTTCTGGATCTTGTTTATATATATGCTTTCTTCTTTGCATTTTAGAGTTTGAATTAGCATTTGTGGATGCAGCGCCAAACTTTTTTCATGTTTTTCAGAAATGTTTCTGAGCCCCTGCAGTGATTTTCTCTACAGAATCTTGTCTGTTTTTTATGAAGTGCTGCCCAAAGATCATGGCCAGCAAATACTGGTTTTTGGCCTTGTCTCTTGCATACAGAGATTTCTCCAGATTCTCTGAATCTTTTAATGATTTTATGTACTGTTTATGATGAAAAGCAAATGTTCTTTGCTATTTTACGTTGAGAAATGTTATTCTTGAATTGTTGCACTATTTGCTCACAGTCTTTCACAGAGTGGTGAACCCGTCCCATCTTTATTTCTGAAAGACTCAGCCTCTCTGGGATGCTCATTTTATACCCAATCATGTTATTGACCTGTTGCCAACTAACCACCAGGTGTTTTTTTTAGCATTACACAACTTTACCACCCTTTTGTTGCCCCGTCCCAACTTTTTTGGAACGTGTTGCTGGCATCAAATTCAAAATGGGCATATATTTATCAAAAAACAATACAATGTCTCAGTTTCACCATTTGATACATTGTCTTTGAAGCAATTTCAATGAAATATAGTGTTTAAATGATTTGCACATCATTGTATTTTTTTTAAATTTACATTTTTCACAGCATTCCAACTCTTTTGGAAGTGGGATTGTATATGACATTAGCATATTCACTTTTATCCAACTTTTACTAGTCACATATGGACATATATGTGACAGATATGCCAACTTATTTGCAAGTGCCTGTTTTCAAATATGGGACATATATGGTAACACTTTATTTGGAGTGGTCTTTTGTAGATGATTGATAAACAATAATAACAAATTATCAGTAACACATCAACAGCATATCAGTGAAGTAGCAGTAGTGAAGCATCTGAATACACTGAAGTAAATATCTTGTAGATGTTCTGTTGCTACATTACTTACATTAAGTAGATGTATTGTTAATATGTTACTTCCATTACGTAAAACCTAACCTTACCCAACCTTACCCAACACCTAACCCTACCCCTGGCCCTAATCCCAACCCTAACCTTAACTTCAACCCAAAACCTAATCCTAACCCTCATACGTTTTTAACATTTTACTGAGAGTCTGTTGAGTGTATGTTTCATCTAAAAAAGGACCACTATATATATATATGATAGAAACATTATTGATATATGGAGGGCATATCACTCATATAACACTGCTGTTGGAACAAACCCTCATATCTTTATTTTTGTCTTTTTTTTTTAGTTTTTGACATAATTTAAAAATGCCTGTTGGTCTTTACATTGTATGTGAATTTCACGACGAATGGACCAAAAGAAACGACCCAAAATGACTTGGAAAAAAAGTCTGGTTCCACTGACTTACATTAAAAGTATGTTTTTTTCCTTCTCCTGTAAAATGTTAACATTTTGGAGATACCAGGTTTTGTTCCGACAGCAGCGATATTCTCTTCTTTGCTTCTTCCACTTCCAAATGAAGTGAAAATTAGTATAACAGCATAACTAAACTCTAAAACATGCATAATTAAGCTATGCAATCAAATCATTTAATCATGATGAACCTAATGAAACTTTTGTTCCCTGACACATTTAAATAATTTAATATTTAAAAGCAAACAGTTAACACAGTACCAATTATAACTGTGCTGGTACTGGTATAATGGTACTCAACCATATATCAGACATATATGTATGATCCATATATTATACATATATGTCCAATATTTGATACTTACATCTGCGTGCAGAACATGTATGTATGTGTATCTTATATGCCTGACCCTTTCTAATGTATCTGCTTATGGCCATATATCAGATTTCCGTATGTGATACTCCAAAACAGCTTTCAACATCAGCTCTGTGGGAAAACAAGGTTCATCTCGTGTCAACATTAACCTGGTATTCCACCTCCATGCTGCTGTTCTTCGTAACAGGCTGGAAGAAGCACTCAGCTCGGCCAGCAGGTAGAACGAAAGTGAATTCAGTGTTCAGGTTCTTCTCAAAGGCAATGGTAAAATCCACAGAGAGCAGCAGAAGCAAAACCACGCAGAGGCTGAAGGAGAGCCACGTCAAACTGAGCTCCATCGTGACGAATCCTCTAAATCAGCTGTTTCTTCCCGACATTTTCCTCTGACTGAATGACAGAACCTGCCTGTTGTTGCAGAAACTCTTGATGACGAAGTGGTGAAGTCGTTTGGAGCCGTGCACAATGAAACGGCAGAACAGCGACCCCTGTCGGTACACTGAAAACTCTGTTTTACTGCAGATTAAAAAAAACACACTGTGAAAAAAGATTCAATGTTTTAACTTAAATAAGTCAGAAACCTGGTTGTCTTAACATTTTGAGTTCATTGAACTTCTAATAGTAAGTTAACAGAACAATAATCTGTTTTACATTCTATTAACTTATTAACTGAAGTTCAATGAACTTCAAATTTTGAAGGCAACCAGGTCACTTAGTTAAAACACTGAACCAGATGCTACACATCTCTGTCAGCTAATAACAATAAATAAAACATAAAACAACTGCAGCGTTCTTCAAAATTCAGTATTTTGAGTTTAATACAGTGGAGTAACTAGGATCTTATGGGTATATATGGGCACTTCTATGAGTGCAAAAATTACTAAAAAAAAATTATACCCTGATGAATGAAAAATGTACCTGCACAGAACCTTTATTTCTAACAGTGTATGGTGTAATGTCTGTGTTCATTGTGTACTCTGTAATGTCCCTAAAAATATTCATTTAAAAATAAAAAAAAACTTTAACTGGCCTGAGCAGAAGCTACAAATGTAAGGTTCCACATGATTTAACAGATTGTTCTGTTTCTGTTTGTGTAAAAGCAGTGGTAAAATTGCTATGCTAGGAAGCAGAAATTGGACCACTAGAGACTTTAGGTTGGTGGTGGTTAATTAATGTTACACAACAGTGTATGTGATTTAAGATCAATTAAATCCAGGAGAGATTGAGGGCAGAAGGGCAGGGCAGGAGGTTTATATATATATAATATGGCAAGCCAAACAGGAAATATTTCATGAACATTGATATATACACAATGAACTTTGATATATATGGAATAAACACTGATATATATTGAATGAACATTGATATATACATGGAATAAACACTGATATATATATATTGAATGAACATTGAGATAAAAAAATGAATAATATAATTCATAAAATGTTTTGTTCAGACAGAGAGGGACTTTTGGGGTTGTGTGTGTTGTAGCCTTGGCCCTCCCCCACCTGCTAAACTGTTTTCGTTGTTATTTAATGTTGTTTTGTTGTTGTTCTTCAGTTACAGCGTGTGTATGTGTTTACTGTGTTATTTTGTGTCCAGCTCAGAGTTAGTGAGAGTGTGTTTGTGTTTGGTGACCATCAGAAGAAAGAGTAGGGCTAGGAGTGACCTACCTCAATTTTCAGCTGCTTTTCAAGCGGCATTGTTTTCCCTTGCTCTCAATAAAAGAGCATTTTTCAAACAGAAATTATGGCCTCATCTGACTCTTCTTCTGCACCATTTCAAATTATGTACATGTTGAAGATCCACCCGTCTGTAGCTTCACATCATATATCAGCCACTCTCAGGTCACTCTGTCCACAGGATCACTGTGTATAGATACTGGTCACTTTATCAGAATTCCCTTCTTTTAATCTCCACCTGGAGTTTGTTAATGTCCATTTAGTGATGCACAGTTTTTGTTGGCCATCCTCAACCCTTCAACAGCGACTTTAATTCAATATATATCTATGTTCATTCCATATATATCAAAGTTCATTGTATATATATATCAAGGTTCATTCCATATTTCCTGTTCGGCTTGCCATAAACACACACACACACACACACACACACACACACACACACACACACACACACATATATATATATATATATATATATATATGTGTGTGTGTGTGTGTGTGTGTGTGTATATGTATATATGTAATGGATGTGGCTGTGCTCTAGTTCATCTTTTGCACAACTTGACAGATCAGATAAAGGCCAGAAAATCTCTTAGTATTCCCAAACCTGGAGGGGCCCAAAAAAAAAATGTATATGGGGGTCCAGTCACTGCGAGCCCCAGTGCGACTGCCCAAATGTTGTAGTCGCTACAGTACACAGGAAAATAGACAGGATAATATCTTTTAACTTCTCTCTCTGGTAAACACACAAACCCACACTAACTAACTCACAGCCCAACACAATAAAACACAGTCAACACACAAACACATCTTAAACTAACAGTGAAAACGTAAATAACAACAACAGCAACAACAAATGTCTTTTTAATGAAGCAGGACGGAACATGTGGCATAGCTTTGCATATCATGCCCCACACACCACATACCTGCCCCTCAAAGGTCAGCCATCCTGGCATCCTACACAATGCCTACACTGTCCCTAGCACATGCTGAGTTGCGGCCAGGCTGGGTGCTCACTCAGGGCCACATCCTTGCTGCTGCAGCTCTGCAGCGCACCCTGTTCTGGGCACGCCATCCTCCTCTGACTTTGGCAAGCAGCCAAACTGCAGTCCAGCGTTTCCTTCCTGGGTTCAAACAGAGCCCCATCCGTCCACTAGGACAACTCAACCAAATATGCATGTATCCCATTTGAGTAACGCCCAAATTTGTGTACTTGGCTCAAACCCCCCAGAGCCTCTTTCTCCCCCACAGGTTGACCTGGCCGCTGTTGACTGACCTGAGCTCGACGCGGTTGCCTCCCAGCCATCTGATGTGCCTATCTCGCTCTGCCCTGTCCACCTCTGTGACAGCTGCATGAAGGCTGGCCAGTGCAGTGAGCTGCATGTGCTCCTCCAGCAGCAGCGAGTTCAGGAAGTGTTCCGGTGCCAGTTCCCCTTCGCAGCCTAGATATGCCTGCTAAACCACTTTCACTGTCCTCTCTGAAGTCGTGGGCAGCTGCGGCATCTCTTCGGCCGGCTTCTCTTTTTCGGTCTTCTCTTTCACTGGCTTCTCTTTTGCTGGCTTCTCTTCTTCTTTGCCATCCACCTGTAAGTTTGTTGAAGCGCCATTCCATTTCTTGCCACTTGGCAGCTCTGTTCCACTTCTGACACCACTGCGGCATTGGCATAGAAGGAGAGAGGCCATTATTTCTGCCACGAGAAGTGCTCTGTTATTTCCACCAGCAGAACAGGCACATCAACAACAACTGGGGAAGCAGACAGCCATATGGTTTCACTTTAAGGTTGACACACTAACCCACACAGTTAACGCTACAGCCCAACACAGTAACACACCATCAGCATATTCACACATTTCAGACCAATAACAAACAGCATAAACAACAACATGCCAACAGAAATGGTCTTTTCTAACAGAGGTGATGCCACATTCGTGCACAGCTTTGCATGCCATGCTCCCTGAGCTCACACCACAATATGATGAACTGTGCTTGACATGTCCAGGGACATGAAATAAAAAGCTAAAAAAAGGCAAATTTCAGGTTGACTTTCACAAATCACATTAGTCTTTGTCAGTTGTACCAGTACCAGTGGTTGGCCCAGTGGCACAGCTTTATTTAAGCTTACCTAGCCGCTGTCATGTCAGTGGCTTGTGTACTGTTGTTTCTTTCTGCATTAGAAGCATATAGCATTAACAATATATAGTCACTAGTCATGATTTTAAGAGGTGTTCTGCAAATATGAAGTGTTCTACCAGCACCACTAGGTGTTCTACAAATACAAGGTCTTCTACAAGTACCACTTTGTGTTCTACATATCTGAGGTGTTCTATCAATATCACTAAGTGTTCTGCAAATAACTGCGAGGTGTTCTACTAGTACCACTAGGTGTTCTACAAATAAGAAGTGTTCTACTAGTACCACGAGGTATTCAACAAATGTGAGGTGTTCTACCAGTACCACTAAGCGTTCTACAAATACAAGGTGTTCTACCAGTACCACTAGGTGTTCTCCAAATATGAGGTATTCTACCAGTACCACTAGGTATTCTACAAATATGAGGTGTTATACATACCACTAAGTGTTCTACAAATACAAGGTGTTCCATCAGGACCAGCAGGTGTTCTACAAATATAAGGTGTTCTACAAGTACTGCTAAGTATTCTACAAATATAAGGTGTCTTACCAGTACCACTAGGTGTTCTACAAATATAAGGTGTTCTACTAGTACCACTAGGTGTTCTACAAATATAAGGTGTTCTACTAGTACCACTAGGTGTTCTACAAATATAAGGTGTTCTACCAGTACCACTAGGTGTTCTACAAATACAAGGTGTTCTACCAGTACCACTAGGTGTTCTACAAATATAAGGTGTTCTACTAGTACCACTAGGTGTTCTACAAATATAAGGTGTTCTACTAGTACCACTAGGTGTTCTACAAATACAAGGTGTTCTACCAGTACCACTAGGTGTTCTACAAATATAAGGTGTTCTACCAGTACCACTAAGTGTTCTACAAATATAAGGTGTTCTACTAGTACCACTAGGTGTTCTACAAATACAAGGTGTTCTACCAGTACCACTAGGTGTTCTACAAATATGAAGTGTTCTACCAGTACTACTAGATGTTCTACAAATATGAGGTGTACTACCAGTACCACTAGGTGTTCTATAAATACAAGGTGTTTCATCAGGACCACTAAGTGTTATACAAATATAAGGTGTTCTACTAGTACTGCTACGTATTCTACAAATATAAGGTGTTCTACCAGTACCACTAGGTGTTCTACAAATACAAGCTGTTCTACCATTACCACTAGGTGTTCTACAAATATGAGATGTTCTACATACCACTAGGTGTTCTCCAAATACAAGGTGTTCTATCAGCACTACTAGGTGTTCTACAACTATAAGGTGTTCTACTAGTACTGCTAGGTATTCTACGAATATAAGCTGTACTACCAGTACCACTAGGTGTTCTACAAATACAAGATGTTCTATCAGTATCACTAGGTTTGCTATTCAGTGTATACTTTTTTGGTACAATAATTAGACAGAACTCATAACTTATATTTAGACACAAACTGGTCTTTCTACTCTGTATTGCTGCCACTGCCTTTATTCATCATTTGGCTAATGAAGGCCACATTTATGCTGCCTTCAAAAAATGAATGAAATGAAGCTACATCAGGAGACTTTGTGCATCATTCCTGCTTTATTTTCAATTTCAGTAGCAACTACTTGAAGTGTTATGAAGTAACACAGATCAAGGTTGCATACTATTTGCAAAAAGGTGCTTCTCATTCTCAGACTTATGCAGACACAACACTACAGTAATTAGTAAGAGTAATCAAAGGTGAACTGAGTCTACATAATCCAGCACAGAACAAGGTCACCTTGCTAAATGTAAAGGCATATAGCTGTTAGATGGCTGACCGCAACCACATTAGACTGTTTATTAATAGTGAAAGTAGGGCTGAGGCACTTTTGCTACAGATTAAAGATTCGTGACTGGTGCTCAACTAGTCAGAAATGCTTTTATTTTATTTTTACAATCATTCTGAAATCTGTTCTGACTTTTGCATACTTGTTTTCCCCATGTTAAACTATAATGCATAAATTAACATTGAATAATGTGTTTGGGTATTAATGAACAGCTTATGTTAGCATTTGCAAGATGGCAAAATGTTTTATGAACTAAATGAAATTGTATCGACATAAGGGCCCTTACACTAAGAAGACAGACATTTTTTCATATTTATATGTTATATGTTATGAAGCATTGTGCCCAAGTAATGAAACTTATAAGGCAAAGGTCAAGTTAAGAAGACTATAGAGCAGTTCCATTAAAGATCTCCTCAAACTACATTTATCTGTTTTCTTGTGTCATTTCAGTTTGAAGGTATGTTTCATAGAACTGCTATAGGTTGTTAAGGAGAATGATGCTTCATAGTAGTGTTATAAATGGAAACAATGGCTATCACTACAGTATAAGGACCTTTATGTCAATACAATGTCATTTACTTCATGAAACCTCCCATGTCACCTTGCGAATACTGACATAAGCTGTCACAAAATATTCAAGCAGTTATTTCTAAATGTGTTATATACTATTTATGCTTGTGTTATAAAGTCCCTATGTAGGTAGCCTTCAAATAAAGTGTTCCAAATGCAACATTGGTGGATAAATTTAAAATATATCAGATTACAGTTGTCATTTTTGGTCATAGCTTTATAAATTCATACAGATTTTTGAGTTTTAGCCACACTTATCTAGGCTTTGGCTAGTTGAGGCTGCAGAAGCATGGCTGTAGTATCTTCTGATCTAGGAAGTATTAGCCACCTTGTGTTTACAATGATACTACTAGCAGATAAGAACTAAACACAGAGCAACACAATGTAGACTACACATATATTGAGGAATACATACATGCATTACATGCTGGTCTAAGCTGGTTTATGCTGGTTTATACTGGTCTGTTGCTGGTTTGGCTGCATTCAAGATGCAACTTATTGTCGCTGTCTAAAATAACATCTATATTTTTTACTGTTTGCATTTCTGCATCATTTGCACATGATGGCTGTCCTTTATATTGTGTGAAACTTACATGGAACATAAAGAACACTTTTGCCCTCTTCTGTAAAGTTACTATTTTGGAGATTTGCTTTTCTTCGGAGAACGACAAGAAGCTTTTTTTTATGGTCATCAGCATATCACCTTCCATTGACCAGCATACCAGCAAACAAATCACAACATATGCTGGTTTTAAGGGTGACCAGTCATGCTGATCACTGCTGGTTTATCTAGCTGATCGCTGATGGTTTAACATGATTTAGCTATGGTGAATTAAACAACAAAACACCTGTAAACATAGTAATACAAGGAAGTGTGTATGAGCGCACGTGTCTTTCCTCCTTCACACCTTTTAGAGCATTTCCTCAGTTCTCACTGCGACTCAATGGCTTCAAGCATGTGAATGAGACAGAGGGCAAAGTTTTCTCTTAACTTTCAGCAAATTTTTCAAATATACAACTTTCTTTGTCCTGGACTGGGCTTTTTCTCAGGGCCATTTTTTTTAAAGAATATTTGTATTTACATGCCTCCACTTGGATGAAGCATCTTGTCTCAAACTCTCCACCCACTTTGGTGACTGGGTACTAACGGTTTCGCACCGTGAGTTTCTCTCTAAGCGTAGGTGTGTGCGTGCATGCGCATTGCTACGCCGTCTCCTCAGCCATTGCTCAGCATCTTCTCTTTTCTGCTGGAGGACCTGCTGTCACCTCTTCTTCAGGACAGGACCTTGTGGACATGGCTAGTAAAGGTGCTGAATATCCCTCGGTGTTCGTGGTGGACAGCCGGGCCGGAATCCCTCCTTTACCCCCCAAGCCGGGCCATAGGCAGGCCCAAAGACGGAGAAGCAGAGTGACCCAGACCATGCTCTACTTACTGGTCTCCATGGCTCTGTTTGGCATAGTTGTGGAGGCTTGCTTGATCTACCACCTCTACAAGACAAAGCAAAGCTCAGTAAGTCCTAAATAGGCTATCACTCCTTTTGAAGTTCTTTTGAAGGCACCTTTCCAGCTCTGTCTGACTTTCAGCAGCTTGACTCATTTGTTCACATATCAGATCAAATCTCATGTTGCATGGCTTTCTGGTTTGTAGCCCAACTCTTTGTCTTTGCCCATTCTAGCTTGTGCTCTCTACATGTTAGCTACCTAAGATCTAAATTAGTCTCTTTATAGTCTTAGTGTGGTTTTCAACTATGAAGTCGCTTCCTTTTTTGCACCAGGGTCAGAAACAAAGTTACTCATGCTTTCATAAGTGGGTTTTCTTTGTGTAATGTGCTGACTTCAGTTAGGCCACACTGAACAAGAGCCAAGAGTCAAACACAGGTGCTTGAAAATGGATTTAGGCTTCAAATAGAAACCTTTTCCTTTGTATTATGAAGCATTACGAGATGTAAGTTTCAGTCCATGTGCTTATGAAATTTTGTAGCTTGCATTTTTGACAGGAGACTTCAAATTCTAACAGAAATAAGGAAGAAAAAGAAGGAAGGAAAGAAAACCTTGAAACCTTTATGCAAATATGATCCGACTTAAAGGGTCCGTAAGGTTTTGATTTTTTGCAAAATTGCTATGTCAGAAAGCTTTTCATAAAAAAAATGAACAAAAAGGATTGCTGATGAGTGTCAACATTAGATAAATACGATTTTACGTTAGTCACAAAGACTATACTTGATCCTATTCTAAATGATTAAATGGAAATATATAGCGTAATTGCATTAAGTTCATATTACCATTTATTTTTTGAGTGCAATTCAGAACAGGCAATGACTCTTTTTTTGGAGAGATCATTATCAGCGTTCCATGATGTGGCTCGGAAAGACCACGTTATCTTTAGGTTTGGTCAGACCCTTCCTTTTCCTTGAAGCCCCTCATGAGCTGCAGTTTCCTCTCTGCAACCTGTACAAGTGCACAGAGTGACTAACCCAGAGCAGATGAAACTCGGCTTACATGCTGTGGGCTTTTCGATCATGTACAGGGGTCAGATGACCTGGTTAGAATAAGCCTATTTCGCACCTGCCCCACATTTACTGCATGTACATACCGTTACTGCATGTACTAAGCAAAAGTCAGAGACCTTTCTCTGTATATTGAATTTCCAGCAAAAATGGCCATTAAGTACAAGTTATTCCTTTTTTTAGTGTCAGAAAAAGCGGGAGTTGTATTTTTAACCGGGTGTCCAACTTTGTGCACATATTCCAACTTCAAAGCTTACATTCTTAAAACCAACCAGTTACAGCTGTGTCCTCCTAACAAAAGCTGTTCCCAAAGGCGTCACCAACATTATGTTACTCTACATAGAGACACTAACATTCTCATAAGCAACACCTCAAACACACATTATCAGCCTAAATTCAACAAACGTCTAGGACTGAATTTTGGAGGTGTGGAAAAATATCCCTGCAGATTTCTTCGAAAAACTGAAAGCAAGTCTCCTGGAAAGAATGGAACCTGTAATATTTAGGTAATTATTAAATATTTTAACATTATATTTAGATGTTGAAGCTTCTGTGTAATTGTAAATTTTTAAATTGTGCCTGTAACACCTTCATGAATGAACACCTGTTAAACTCAAGTAGACGCTTTTGGACAGGGACAGAGCTCCAAAATGTGACACATTATTTGTGTGTATTTGCACTCATTTTCAATTTCTTGAGCATTCTTCCACAATTTTTCACTCTTTTAAAAGTGCTATAATCACAGCACTTGTAACATGTTGTAATACTTATATATTTTGTCTTAGGAGCCTCTTAATAAGGATAAGGACACTCCACAAACTGATGCAAGAAAAGGTAGAGAATGCACTTTGCAGAAAATGTTATCTTGCAACTTTTTATTTATTCTATTTAAATGTCATTTTAGATTTGTTTTATACAGATAACAGATATGTGTGGATCTATGTGAAATGACCATACGGACCTTGTCAGAATTGCTTCACACTTTCAGGAAATAACATCATTATGCCCAGTAGAAAGAATGCAAACTTGTATCTTGTATCTTCATTGCTTTCTGAGATATAGAGGCTTAAAAGCGTGAATAGTCTTTATTTCAGTTGTACATCAGTGTTACCTAACCTTTAATGTCATTACTAATGAGACAAAGACCTAGTTTCAAAAGTGTACCATAGTATGAGTAACAAATACCAAAGATTTGAAGGATCTGATATACTGCAGTGTGGGGATATAGATGGACAAAAAAAAGGTTTTCAGCAAGCCATAAAACAGCAAACATGCATCTCTAAATTTTCTGATCTTCTGTTTAAACACATTTTAAAGCAAAGAGTAATCACTGAGGATTTCATGCATCTAACAATAGTTCAAAAGTTACTTAGCAATTTTTTTAAATCACTTATTTAAGGACGGACATTAAACACTCAATTTAAAAGGCTCTATATCTCAGAAACTAATGAAGATACAGGCCCAGAATTTTGCACGTTACCTGTTTAGCACACTATGTCTTTAAAGTATTAAGCAGAGGTGAAATGGTCAGTCTGGAACCTTTTTTACATATATAAAATTTGGTGATTTTAAATGCATATTTGCTAGCAACAATGTTATTTTGCATTACATAGGTTAAAAACTAATAAAACAACAGCAATTATTAATATGACAAGTGATTCCAAACATTTCAACACTAGTGTATAAAATACACTATTGTAGTATCTTATGTATTCCTTATGTATTTATATATTTTTTTCTCTATCTGGGAAACAATGTAATATTTAAGGTGAACATGTCATGGAACACCCTACAGTCCCTCCAAAGAGGACAAAACCACCTCTATTTAAGAAGCCTTTAAAGCCTCTAGCGCACCTGTCAGGTAAGGCTGTGTAATATCTATTGTCTTTATAGCACAACACCATTATCTGTGCGGTAACGCTTTACTGTAGGTCTGTGTTTATAGGGCTACATGACATCCACATAAGCTTGTCTTGACAACTGGTACAAGCTTACATAAATATTTATTAAGGCTAATTCAAAAAGGCATCATCTTTGTTAAAGGCTGCTTTGGTCGACTTAGGCCTAAAGCTTAGTGTATGTCACAGTGACATAATGCCAATAATATGACATAGCTTTAATCTGATAAATGGTAAAATGACACTTAAGGACACAAAAAATTCTTACTTGTGTTCAAACAGTCTGACTTGGCAAGCTATGTTATATTATCAGTGTTATGAGACTATTATGTGACCTAAAAGTCTATGGCTGCGTCTCTATGAGTGCATACTGTACTAAATAATCATATCAAAAATGACACACCACCATTAGCAGTACATTCATTTGTACAGTATGTGTACTGTAGTAGTGTGTGGTTTGAGATGCAGGCTTTGTCAACATAGATTATGAAGGTTATGTCAACTTTTAAGACAAATAATGTCTGTTAGAATAAGTGTTTATAAATGTTAATGTAGGTCTATATCAGTTGTCATGAAGAGTTAATGTAGGTGTCATGTTGCCTTATGGACACTGCCCTACAGTGAGGTGTTACTTCTCCATTCACTCAGAGGAGGCAGAGACTGCAGTTTGTGTACAGTTCAAGTTCTAACACTAATAATTTTTTCTTTGTCATTATTGTTGTTTACGGTGAAGCTGGTGGTGAACGGCCCGGTGCAGACGGAGTCATGCCATGGAACGATAAAGTGGACCTTGATCTTCATGAGCTGGAGTACAAAGAAAATAAGCTGGTGGTTGAGAAAGAGGGCTATTACTACATCTACTCCAAACTCTGCTTTGATGCAGATGAAGCTTCCTTTCACCACTTGGTGGTGAGGACTACGTCGCGCTTCACGGGACCTTATATCGAGCTTCTACGTAACCGCTACTATGGAGACCACTCCAAACCACCCAAAAAAGAAGGATCCATGAAAAACAGCTATGTTGGTGGCGTGTTCCACCTTTACAAAGGTGATGCTGTTTTTGTTGTGGTGAAAAGTGGCACAGTTCGCCTGCAAAATGCTGCAGATAACTATTTCGGCATGTTCATGGTGTAGCCAGAATTTCCTTTACTCAAATAGTGCAGGGCATGATGAACGTATTTGCTGTTGGACATTTTAAAAGTGCAATAAGTGATGGGATGATATTTAGCTTGACACTCGTAAATAACTGGCTTGGAAGGCCACATGATAATTTGAATATGATTTAGCAAGAACTGCAGACTTTTAGATGACTGTAAAACAATTATGTACCTTTTACTGTTGAGTAAAGACTTTTTACTGGAAAAATGTCCTTTAAAATATTCAGTTTTAAGTATCTAATAGCCCAAATGTGGGGATCTCCACTCTTAAAATAAATGGTTCTTGGCTTGGACACAAGATTCTAGGAAAAACATTGGCATATTAATATAGAACTGTTGCATTATGTGGAGATTCTTTCAAAATAGCTTTAAAATAGTTCTTTATAGATCCACCTATTTAAATGTACCATGTGTTTTTTAAGGCATTATCATAAAGAACCATTTTTAGCACCTTCATTTTGAAGAATGTAGGCCAACCATTATCATTGATTTTGAAGTTTCCACACAATAACTTGGAGTCACTGTGGAAGACTTGAAAACTTTGATGTAAAGTATACATGGTTCACTTCTGTGTCAACAAAGCAGAAGATACAGAAGGTTGTCCCAAACCACGGGGGACTTTACAGACAGAACAGCGTCTCTGTGTCATGGCAATGTAAGCCCTTCTAATTTAATCAAAGTCTTAATCATTTTAAACACATGCAGTACTGCGTAAAAGTCAGAGACTGCCCATCATTTACTTCACTTTCAGTCAGGCTGTACAGTTTCTATATCAGGAAAACAGCAGAAGACATATTTAACAGAAAATTACACAGACATCTCAACAACTAAATATAATGTAAACATCATTTTTTCAGTATTTAGTGTGTCCACTGTTTGCTTTTATCACAGCTTTCATTTGTTTCAGGAGACTTGCTTTCAGTTTTTCAAAGAAATCTGCAGGGATATTTTTCCACACCTCCAAAGTTCAGTCTTAGAAGTTGGTTGCATTGTCTGCTTCTCATGATCAAAGTAATCCCAAACACATTCAGTGATGTTGAGGTCTGGATTCTCGGGTGGTCAGTCCATTGTTCTGAGAACACCAGCAGCTTCTTCAATTCATTTTTTTTTAATCTAATTCCTTTTCTCAGTGTTGAATGTCTACATACAGCAGAAATATGGACAGGAACACCTGTGGATTTATTCAGCAAGAGTGGGGGCTGATTTTCCCCTCTCTCTCAAAGATGAAAGCTTTAAGTGCTGTTTATCTGATGGGGACAGTTTGGGCACAGCCATCAGCAACCCTGGTTTCTCTGTATCATTGATATAGTTTTGGAAACTCCTGTTTTTTTCATTTACTTTCCTTTGACTTTGCCTTTTCTAACTAACTAATCTCCTCGGAAATCTCTTTGAAAATGAAGGACTTTTACTTAATGGCAGTTTTGACTGTAAATGAAATAAAAGAGGATACTTTCTGACTATCGCACTGCACTGTACATAATTAGGTAAGCACTTTTATCCTGAAAAATACCTTGCTTGGTCATTAATAAGACATTAAAGCCCTTTTTTGTTCATTATGTCACCCTGTAAACCACTTATTGCATACTGTTATTTTGCACAATGTTTAATAGGCTGTCTTGATAACTGCTAGCCATCCTGTCAATAAGAGTCTTTAAAAGGTATTTATTGTTTACTGAAATGCCTTTAAACTGTCTGTATAATTTTACAGATATATCTGACATATTTCCAAGGTTTTTAGCTGTTTTTATATTTTGAAATAATTATGAATTGTATAAATAATTGTTGTATGAAGTTTCTGCAATGCAGACTTTAAATGTTACATTTAATGTTATTTAATTTTCACTTAGCATTTTTGTATGTCATTTTTTTTTTCAAAAATAAATAAACTTGTCAATAAGAAAAAGCACTTGCTGCTGCTGTAAATGCTACTTTGGGTTACATATGGGGAGGATAACTCCCCCCAAATGCATTCATACACAATACAAGCACCGTTGCTGCACACAAGCTGCAAGGCTGTGGTTTGGCTTTTGCTGTTGGCCCACAGGCGAAAGCAAGCCAGTCACTGACTGACACTCCGGATGTACCATCACAACCTTCTGAAAGGTCTTTTCGGTATGCTTGCACACTTTTGTCCCCCAAGCCTCAGTGTGTGTATGTATGTGCTCCTTACCTGTAGTTTGCTATGAAAAGACACTTGTGGCGCGATTTAATACCATTTGTCCAACAGCAGACTTTCCTTTTTTCCCCCTCTATAAACAAAAGCACATATGTTTATTGCTTTGATATCAGTTTTCATCTCAAGTTTACATGGTAAACTTTTTTGGTCTGGTTTGGGTTTCCTTTCATCTGTGTCTTGTTCTAAGAAGTGGCTGTGAGCTCGCCCACGCTGCAGGCCTGCTCTCAGCCTGGCCCCGAGTCTCTACTGATCAGGGGAGAGGAAGTGGGGGGGTGGGGGAAGAGGTCTACAACAGAACAGGTACCTCAGACCCGCTCTTTCGCTGACTCAGTCGCTTAGGAAACCTCCCTCAAACGCCCCTCTGGAACGTTCCGCTTCCAGCCGCCACACAGATGCGCACAGATAGGTAGACAGATAGATAGGCGGATAGATAGAAGCGTTATTAATTCTAAAGGAAATGGGAGTCTTACAGCACACCTTCAAAGCAGACAATAGGCCTCATTCGCCAATATCTTCCTATGTTTTTTCTGAAATGTGTTCTTGAGAAAGGTCCTACGAAAAGTCGACATCAGATTCGTGACGTGTTCTTAAAACGCAGAATTGTTCAAGCCTTTGTGCTCTTGAGTGTGTGTAGATTGTGTTCTTACCTGAGAACGAATCCCAAGTAAGAAAACATTAGAACATCAGAATCTTCGTAGAAACTGCATGAGCAGGTTTTAAGAATAAATTTCAGCAATACTTTTTATAAATACCATGTCTATAAGAATCTATGAAAACATTCACAACATGTCATAATGTATTCGCAAGGCATCATTAACGGGGCTATAAGTATTTATAAAAATGTATTACACTTTATAGCCATGCTTATTATGCATTATGAATAGTTAACATAATGCATTGTAAGTAGTGTTCATATCATGTTATAAGAGCTTAAAAGTTGTATTTGTCAGTTCTTAGTAAGGGGAGACTTTATTAAAGGTTCCTCCAATAAAAGAGAGTGAGACTGAAGAATTTACTGAAACACAACAGCATACAATGTAAAGCACATTACAAGCTTAAAATGTCAGACTGTAAACAAGTGGTGCCATCAGTGGTATTTTACGTGGGAAAGTCACTGTTCACCACTGTCAGTTTGGCGCCAACGTAACACTGCATATCTAATAGAATGCCAGCGGAAATTAGCATTATTGCAGTGTAGTGTGACGAAGTGAAGGTTTCTAGTGGTTAATGTTAGACACCACCGCTGAGCGTGGTGTCACAGGGGGTTTCAGGGGAGGGATCAGATGGGTACTTCCCATTTCTTATTTTTACCCCTACCCATTGTTTTCGATTGTCACCTTGCCCATTGGAACTGCGTTACAAGGTGTAATGGTTGAAATCTTCCTCTAGGAAATGGGACAACCCCCAAATAAAATACAACATTGCTTTATTAACAGGCTACTGTTAGGCTCTGTAGGCGTTCTTATCGCCCACCCCTAATTCTTTGGTGATATGAATCTGAAGTCAGCTATTCACCAGTTTCTTATTTGAATTTTCCAGTTCCATTTAAGGTGGAACAGTAAACAAGCTATCAACACATCAACATACTCCTAGCAATTTGGAGTGTGTCTCTGAAAAACCTCCCTTTGGAGGGCCATGTTGAAGTAAAACTTCACTTTACCCCTAGGTGTGAACACGCAAAACAGGTAGGGCTAAGTGTTGAAATGGGATTGGGCCAAAATGTGATTTTTTGAAGTGTGAGCACTGGTTAAGGAAAGCATACTGTAGTAATAACTCTGGGCTTGCCAACTTGTTTGGGGTTGGCATCTAATTATTCTTGTCCCAAAGGTCCAGCCCTGACAACACCTATAGTGAATAGAAATAAAATATTGCAAATGCCATAGTGTGAATAAGCTTATTTGTCTCAGTTTACTTAACACTCTGCAAGCTGAGACTGACTTCTTTGGCACTGACAATATATCATATTGTTAAGACTACTTATAATGCATTATGTTAACAATTCATTATACATAATAAACATGGCTATAAAGCGTAATTCATTTTTAGAAATATTTGTAGCCATGTTTATAATGCCTGATGAATGCATGTTATGAATGTGTTTATAGATGCTCCTAGACATGGTATTCATAGAAAGTGTGGTAACACTTTCTATGAATGTCACCTTTGTAAGCATCTATAAACACATTTATAACATGTTATAATGTATTCATAAGGCATTATAAACATGGTTATAAATATTTATAAAAAAGAATTACACTGAATTGCACTTTATAGCTATGTTTATTATACATTATTAATTGTTAGTATAATGCATTATAAATAGTATTAATAACATGTTATAATGTCAGTGCCAAAGAAGTCAGTCCCAGCTTGGAGAGTGTAAAGTAAAGACACATACCAAGCTAACGGTGGTGTACATTACCTTTCCCACACTGGGTAAAACACTGATGGCAGCACTAGTTTAAACTCTGACATTTGAAGCCTGTAATGTGCTTTATTGTGTATGTTTTAGTGTGAATGTATTATAACATGTTATGAATGTGTTTATAGATGCTTACGAAGGTGACATTCATAGAAAGTGTTACCAAAAGTATTTCAGAAATTTCTTCGGTAACACTTTCTATGAATGTCACATTTGTAAGCATCTATAAACACATTCATAACATGTTATAATACATTCATACGGCATTATAAACATGATTATAAACATTTATAAAAATTAATTACACTTTATAGCCATGTTTATTATACATTATGAATTGTTAATATAATGCATTATAAGCAGTGTTGATAAAATGCTATACTGTCAGTGCCAAAGAAGTCAGTCCCAGCTTGGAGAGTGTAAAGTAAAGACAAATACCAAGCTAACAGTGGTGTACATTACCTTTCCCACATTGGGTAAAACACTGATGGCAGCAACAGTTTAATATCTGACATTTGAAGCCTGTAATGTGCTGTACTTTGTACGTTGAAGTGTTTCAGTAAATCCTTCAGTAAATACTTCAACTTGTAGCCTCACTCTTAACACTGGAGGAGGCTTTAGTACAGTACGCTTCACTTTACTTATAGCAGACAAAAATGACTTATGAGCTCTTATAATTTGTTATGATCAGTACTTATGATGTATTATGTTAACAATCCATAATGCATAATAAGCATGGCTATAATGTTTAATGTATTTTTATAAATATTTATAGCCATGTTTATAATGCCTTATGAATGCATTATGACATGTTATGAATGTGTTTATAGATGCTTACAAAGGTGACATTCATAGAAAGTGTTGCCATTTCTTCTTAAGAATGGTTGGTGAATGAGATCCATTGTATCCAGTTAAGGTCAACACATTTTGTGTTACTCTTTACTCATTACTCGTCACTAACACTTATTGTTATTATCCCATTTAACACAGGTAGAGTGTTCACCAGTGTGTTTTAAAGACATAATCTGGGTAAGAGACGTGCTGTGTTCTTCTAACTTGACACAAAATGTGTTAAAACAGTGATAATGCACAAATTGTATCAGTATCCAACCTGTGTTGGGAGTAATGTGGTACATGTTACAGTAATGTGATTACTTTTTTCTATAACTAAGTAATGTAATGTAGTACTCTTTAAATTCTTGTCATCACATTACAGTCACTGACCTAATAAGAGGTGCGCAACTTGTAATCCGTGTGCTTGTGTGGTGCCTGTGTCAGCTAACTGTGACGTC